CCGTAGCCACCATCGGCGCCATTGAACGCCCAATGGCAGCAGTAGTTTGCTTAGTGGCGCGGAGAGCCAAATCTGTGGTGTGGCGCAACCTTTGCCCTTATCCAAATCCTTAAGCAGGTCAGCCTGATAGGCTTGTAACACCGCCATGGTGTGCAAAGCACGACCAGCCTGACCCGCTGCCACATACGCCCTGCCATTCAAGCGCGAGGTAGTCTGCAGCGCTACTGACGACTAGGCAGGAGTCTTTAAAGAGGATGAATCACCCTGCGAGACATAGCTCGCTAACGTCTCTTCAACAGGGGGCATCCTCGCATATCCGTGCTCAGCCACACTCTCAACATTAGCATAGTCAGCGTGCTGAAAGGGATGCAACCGGAAGGATTATGGTTTCCCCCAGGATTTAGATATCTCTGAGTGGAGTTCTGGGAGAAACGGAAGACTCCCGGGGGCAGGACGATCAAGACCGGCCAAAAAGCGCTCATCTAGTCGGCCCCGAGCCGGCTTAGGCTTCTCATGCGCCCAAGCCAGATCGAGCTGCTTAGTGGCGTGATCCATCACATCCAACATATCCCCGTATGCGCGTCTGGGGGTGATCGATGCCTACTCAGTGCTCACACTTTCATCATCATCACCAACCACATCAACCTCTCCATCTGACTAGAAGAGTCCAGCAGCATGCTATCAGGATCAGATCAGGACCAATAAAAGAGTGTCTGGATCCCGTAGCACGCCAGAGCTCGCGGCAGAAGTTTTTGAAAGATCCATACCTTTCTCAAACTTCTCCGCGAGCTCAACCTGTAATTTTGCTCAGCAGCAGTGGGATCTGACCTGCGAGGTGCAGATGCTTGCCCCATTTCCCCCGAAAAAAGAGACAAACGTGATCGGAGCTTTCGCATAGAGAACAATTCACAATGCACGCATTCGGAGCCCTCAAGCACCGAACACGCATGCTCCTCCCCCAGGCACATAACGCACAAGTCGTGCGTGTCCACAGGTGTCAATTGCCTAGGACACGGAGGCACGCACTTCTTGAAAGGTTCACCCAGGTAGACAGACATAGTAACACACTGCTCGCAATAGACGGCTCCTGAAGACAGCAAAGAGGATGACGTATTCAGCAGGTGCCCTTTTATACTTCCGGGCACCCCGCCTATGACGTTATGGGCCAGGTGGACCAGTAGATTGGCGTTGTTTCACACGTGCTTCAGACACCGGTCATGCAGGCTGCATTCCCCAATGTGCCCCCAATGTGGAGTTCCCTAGATGGGGAACAAAATTTTTAGTCTTGAGTGTCATGATCTTTCAGAAATCATTCTAATATGCTGACTTGTGCATTTCTTTTTTTTATGATCACAGCAGTGCTGCTTAATATTTATGTGGAATTTTTGATGAATAGAAACAGCTTTTATTTTAAATGTCCCCCCATAAAATTACAAATGTTTTTAGTGTAACATTTGTTCAATATTGCACCTTCACTGAATAAAAGCATTAATTTATTTACAATATATCGTAAATTTTAAAGTTGTCTTTCAACATCAGTCTGTAAAACTCTTTTTTTTATCCTATAAGAAAGTGATTTGTCATTTAAAGTTCTTATTTAATTGCCCTTAAACAGGAAGATTGTTTGCTCGTCTTGTTCACATTACAGTATATTTTATGGTTAAATGTTGACCAGGTGGGTTGAAGGTGTTTAAAATACACACAGACACTCGTACTTTCCATTCTCACTCTTTTCTATTTTTTATTTTTTATTTTTTTGTGCTTGCTGCACATCACCTTTTGCCTAAATTTTCCATTCCACAGCCTGATGTGGCACCATTTTGAGAGAGAGCGGCAGAGATGAGAATCTCACTTATATACGGTCTTTGAATTCTGGAGCTGGAGGGTGGTGAAGTGCTAGACCTGCAAAGCCATGTTGTCCGGAGGGGACAAAGAGACGGGAGATGTGAAAGAGACATATTGTACAGGCTCAGTGTCTTGTGTGGGCATTACTACACACCGTGAACGTGACCTTTTTGTAGATGTGTGTATAAAATCAATTTACTATCTAGATTTTGCAGGATCAACACTGAGAATGAACTCAAATGAAATATTTGCAGATGTATGAATGTAAACTAGGGCTTGCACAGCTATTCATTTTTACTAGTCAACAAATCGAATGGTCAGCAGGTCACATTATTGCTCCTGAAAGGTCCCTGACCATATGTCTTTTAAAATCAATCAAAAAAGTCTCAAAGGTTTATGCAATGTTACAATTTTTCAGCATATTCATGTGCTACTGTTACACATATTTTTGTAGGCCACCTCCAGTTAGCATTTCCGGTTCCATAATCTGGAAGTTAATGGGTTTTTTAGGCTTCTCGTCATTGTCATACTCAACTAAAGTGCAGTGAACTTCAATGACTATGATTAATAACTATGACAATATTACAGAAAACATGGTATTATAAATTTATACAATCTACAAAATACAATCTACAAATGTCATACAATACGTTTTTGTACAATCTACTTATTCCCGACGATTATATTTAGGGGTGGACCTTCATGCTTACTTTTTCATATGATTCACATTTAATAAAATCTACTAAAATCTACTACAAAATAACCATTGGTTATTTGATATTTATGGAATATTGTTATGATGTTTATCCAAATTCGATGATGTTTATCATGCTTAAATGAATGAGCAAATTAACGTATGAATGCCAAAATAATGTTATTAAATGTTTTTATTTCTAATCAAATAAATTTTAGGGCCATTCATTTTTGAGATGTAATGCAGGAACAAAACTGTTAAAAATGCTCAATTCTGCACTGAGCGTTTTTAATCCTTGTAATCAATTACCATCTTTATAAGCTGTTTTCTACATTTATGGAAATAATAACTAGACATTAGCCAAATATGCACTAATGAACTGATACTCTTCAGGGTTTTCTTTAAAATTACAACTTTTTAAAAAAATTTTCCCCTAATGAATCTAAATTAAATAGCTTCATATCTGCTGCACCAGTGATTTGGAGCACAGCAGTAGCTGTTTGGAGAAATGACTCTCAAGTTTAAGATTAAATGGAAAGAGTTCTGAGCTCAGGATTAGTCTTAAGCTCTAAGTAATGAAGTTGGCAGGAAATAGGAGAGAGTTTTTTTTTTTTCCTCTTTGAGCTCCTCTTTTCCAACTAGAGACCGCTGCAGCATCTGGCCGCATGCACCATCAGAGCATGAAAACGGAATCACAAGAAAAGTAACTGCAGGAAGCTGTTCACTCACGTACAGGATCTTTCATCATAGCATTTTAACCTCACTATTAACAAAGGGAGTGGGGTAGGGCTGTCAGTCATTACACCTCTCCTTTCTGTCCAAATGTCCCGGAGCTTGTAAGAGCAGGAGCAGGGCCTTTGGCCTGGGTAATTGTTCACAAAGATGTGCACATACTCTCTCCAAGACTCTTACTTGAGGGGAAGCTCTCACTACCGTCTGGTCTAATTTCCGTCAAACTGGTGCTGAGACACAGCAGCCTCGAGGCCCAGATGTGAAGGAGATGTTTTCAGCCATTATTGCACAATATGCATGCCATGTGGAGAAACATAAAACATAAACAATTTTAAAAGGCCATTTTAGTTTTGGAGGAACATACTGGCTAGGGATGTCAAAAGTACCGGTAAAGTCGATACTACAATAAAATTAAAAGTCTTTCTACAGTATCATAGTGAATACCATATCAGTTCAGTATCCAAGTGCTGCCCATGCATATTTGGGCATGTGCTTATGGTGATGTGCATGGCTGCATGCATGTTCAAATACACTTACTATAAAATTATATGTATACACACACACAATGGATAAAGAAAAGTATCACATATGATATGATGTCACACTCGTCTGTGTGTGAAGACGCTGCAGGCAGCTGCACAGCGCAAATCCATGAATTAATGTTCCGGAGAGAAGAAAACTTAAACGGATTTCCCCTGCTCAGAGAATAGGGAGCAATGAACACTGTGTGGGGATCATATCAATCGGAACACAGTACTGGGATTGGGAACCGCTGGACTAGGCTATGCAAGGACATTCACCTTTTTCTCCTTCATCCACTGTGTGGTCACTTTTGTTGTGTGCTGTGTGTCATTGTTATGTTGGAAGGTAAACCATCTTCCTATTGACAACTTTCTGGCAAATGGCAGCAGATTTTTCTCAAGAATTGTATGGTAATTTGCCCCATCAATTTTTCCTTCTATCCTGACAAGTGCTCCATACTGCCGTGCAAAGGCAAAAGACCGTAACTTCGATTTTTGTCGAAGAAACCAAGGCAGAACACCGTATAACACCAGTTACGGCTCTTTCACTTTGTTTGGAACGCTCAAATTGAGTTATAACGTTCTGCCTTTGTTTAGCCGTGCGTCAAAATGAAGTTACGGTGCCGGTTTGGAGTTATACGGTGTTCTGCCTTTTTTTTTACAGTCCATTAAAGTCTGCCGTATTTTAATTACGGTGTAAACGAATTAGATAGATCGTGATCAACCTAACAGCTCCATATAACAAAGCACTGTAAAGACTAGATACCTTGGCAGCAATACGTACTGTAACCGTGAATAACCTTTAAAGATTTTTTTTCTTTTTGTAGCCTAATGCAGATTATCACCAGGCTGTCACTTAGTTGGACGCGTGTGGACTCGAGTGCCGTAGCTAGCATGATTAATCGTAAAATCAGTAGCCTACTAACAGTTCGCAATTAAATCCATATCCTAACTTTTCTTGTAACCCGATAAAATCAATCCATGGCGATGAACGTCATCGGAGATGTTTAATCCACAAGCATTCTGAGCATTA